GCTCTGCGCTCCTCAGAGCTGTTACTGGCTGTGCTACTCTGGGCTATGAGTCTTACAGGCACCAACTTGTTTCATTTTCTCCACAGCTCCATAAAATGAGCCCCTTTGTTAGCCCTGATTTATGGAGGGGAAACCAAGGCTCTGGAAAAAAATGAGTCACTGGCCAAAATCAAATGATCCCTGTCTTAGTTCATTCATGCTGTATAACAAAACACTCGAGACCAAGTAATTCATTTGATGAATTTTATGGAACAGCAGCTTAGTTATTCACAGTTTTGGAGGCCAAAATCAAGGCAGTGGGAGGTTTGGTGTCTGGTGAGGGCCCGTTCTCTCCATTTCCAAGATGGCACCACATTCCTGCATCTTCTGGGGGTGGGACGGGTGGCAAATGTTATATCCTCACATGATGGGCTGATTTGGAGCAAAAGGGGCCCAGACAGTTCCTTTCAGCCCTTTTATAGTGTCATTATTCCACTAGGGCATGCTGTACCCTGATGACTTAATCACCTCCTAAAACTCTACCCCTACCAGCTATCACACTGGTGATCAAATTTCAACACATAGATTTTGAAGGACCCAGTCCAACTCTAGCATCTACCCAGGTTATAAAACTGCCATACAGACTAGTGGAGCTCAGTGGTGGGTGTGTCTGTGGATGATTGACATGTAGGTTGACAACTGAGGTGGAAAGACCCACCCCGGATGTGAGTGGTACCAGCCAATAGGCTTAGAGCCTGGGTGGAATAAAAAGGGAAAGTAGTAGGAGGTCTTGCCTTGTGCTTCTTCAGAGGAGATTCAGCCTTCACTACCACCTTTACACATTCATCTCCAGTTCTTTCAACCTTTTAATGCATGCCTACCTAGTAAATCCTTTATATAATCTCTCTCTCTCTCTCTCTCTCTCTCTCTCTCTCTCACACACACACACACACACACACACGCACAATTACATTAAATTTGTACCTCTAGTGAACCATAACTGGCACATCTACATACACATTGGTTTATATACATGGCTGCATATACACTTTGCTCTCACACTATCACAAGCACCTACTCTTGGTCACACACTCACACATTCCCTCACATGCACAGACACACTCAAATATATGCACACACTTTACACTTCACCCCTCCATACCCACCTTGGCAGAGGATGGACCAATTCTGCAGGGGATGGGGGGGCTTCTACTTAGGGATTTTTAAATTAAAAATAATCTCACTGGCATGAGGCACCCTGGCCCTGCCAGTTCATCCCCAGCTGTGTGACGGCTTCTGTGAACACCGCGCCGGGCCTGAGAAGCACAGGACCTGTTTCGTCCCCTGCGTGTGTTTCTTGGGAGCTGCGGTGTCCCTGTGTCCTTCCTCGCCAAGGGCCGAGGCATCCCAGTTAAGCAGCGTTGAGGTATGACAGCTTTCTTCTTTTTCTTTAAACACCTCTGGGTGTCGAGGGAGGAAGCAGTGAGTCTCCATCTCCGGTCTTGGGCTCAGGAGGCTGAGAATTCAAGGAGCAAGACCAAGGGTGTGCGGCCCTGAAACCTGAGCCTGACCAGACACCAGCTCTGAGCCAGCAGTGGGGAGTGGATGCCCCCCTGTTCCTGGCTCCTGATACAGACTAGCATGCTTCTCTGCAGTGAGCTCCAGGCCTTGAGTTCTGACTGGATCCTCTGGCTCCCCAGTGTGCAGATGGCCCTTTTGCATACTTCCACCCCGACTCTTCAGGTGGCCACTGTGAGCCTACCTGCTGGAGTTTCCTCCGGGGAATCCTAACTGATGCAATGTATTGTGAACATTATAATGATATGCAGCCATAGCAATGACAGGGGTGAGCTAGAAAATAAACAGAAGTCCCCATATTGTTCCACAAGCCTTACAGGACTGTCCTGTGCCCTCCGCTTTGTACCACAGCCCAAGACCTTCCTGTTCAAGGGTGAACTCCTGGGAGTGGGATAGAAATGTAGAGTCCAGCCTGCGGGTGTCTCTCTGTAGTACAGCACTTGCCTAGGGTACGCACCACACCCACACACAGGATGGAGAATCTCAGGCACCACCCCAGATCTATGGGATTAGACTCCAAGCACATGAAAATTAGGGAGCCCCTGGTCTCAGGAGCCTACGGGGGCGAGATTCCTTCCATATAGGGCTGCCTTATGACTTCTCCTTTCTGTGTGGGACTGGGCGAGCTCTTCTCCTGGTTTTAGACCCACCCAGCATGCAGGGAACCAGCCCGACCTCTCTGGCACTGCAGGGAGCCCTGTAAAACCTGCCTGGGAACACTCTGCCCCTGCCAGCTTGCAGAAGGCATCTCGCTTGCCCTACACACAGAGGTGCCAGCCAATTTGGAGACACCCCCGAAGAAAGGGTTTCTGGTCCCCACAGTTTGAAACGTGATTGCCAAGCCATCCCATAAATCTGCTTCAGAAAGCTGCAGAGATTTTTTTTTTCCCCCTTTGGAGGTAAAAGAAACAAAAAGCTAACAAAACTAATCCCTGGCTGTTCCTTGAAGTGGACTCAGATGGAAATAAAATCTTTCCACAAAGTGAGCTTTGGCCTTACTTCCTCGTTTTGGGTCCAAAAATGACTTTCCAAGCGCGTGTTAGCAAAGGCCTGGACGGAGCTAGGGAAGGCGGGCCCGCGGCAGAGGCGGTGGCCCCGGCACCTTCACTGGGGAAGCTCGCTAGCTGGCGGGCTGCGAAAACATTATTCTTTAATTAAGAGAGTAGAAGCAACTATTAGAGAAGTCATCAAACTCTAGACAGGAAAAGGGCTTGGTTTCTGCTGCCCTGGCGCTGCCCACAGCATAGAGAGAAGGTGTTGCCACCGGTTTCTGGACTGGGGCGAAGTCAGGCCTCTGGTGACCACTGGAGGACTTTATGGAATGGGTGGGTAGGGGCTGGTTGCCCAGGCTGAAGACCAAAAGGGCTCCACGGACTTCCAAGTGGAGGGCAGGACTTTGCCAGGCAGTCTCTTGGCAGAATGCGCTTTTTGTCTTTTTCCACCCAAGTTTGCCTCCTTCAGCCGCAATGTTGGAAGCCAACGAGGGCAACTATGTTTGCTCGTTTTCTGTTACTATAATGAAATACCTGAGGCTGGGTGATGTATGAAAAAGGAGCTCATGGTCTGGGAGCTTCGAGAGCATGGTGCCAGCTTCTGCTGGCTGAGGAGGAGGCCTCCTCGTCCACATTGCATGTGACATCATAATGGGCAGGCGTCCAACAGGGAGAGAACACACTGACAGCCAGGAAGCCAGAGACAGACCATGGAGAGGCCAGGATGGACGTCCCCCTAGGGTCTACCTCTGACGCCATCCCGAGGGGACAAACCACACCAAGCTGCAGCAGTGACCTATCATAGAGAGGGACCTCTCCCTCCCTTTGTGCCGGCCAGTTTCCTGTTTCTCCCGAATCCATTTTCTGTCTTTCCTCAGCTCTCTTTGGTACACAGGAAGGTCGACCACCGGCACGACAGTGCCCAGTGTCCCCTGCTCCTGGTTAGGTTCAGCTCATGGGAGGCTCCAGCAGGGAAGAGAGGAGGCAGGGAAACCATTCTCCCACACTCTGCGCCCTGATCGGGGGCCCTCTGTGTCCTGGCGGAAGTCCGGCAGTGGCCATATTCTCTCTGAATTTCTGGTTCTCCTCAGAGCCAGCTCTCCCACCTTCGTTCACATCCCCTCCTTCATCCTCTTGTGCTAGGGCCACAGTGGTTTTCCTCTCTTGCAAATCTCTCAGTTGTCTCCGATGCCGTTTCCCTAGCAGCTCTCCCAGTACCTTAGCACTAGCGAGCCGGATTTTAATAACTTGCTCTGGAGCCATCGATCGGTGGCTCTGTCTTCCCTACTCAACACTGAACTTGCGCATCTCTGTGGCAACCCGGACGTCTCCGTGGAAACCCTCACTCTGGTGTCAGAGGGCGGGGCCTGTGGGACGATGAGGCCGCGAGGGCGGAGCTGGGGAGAGCAGAGGGAGGAGACCCTTGAGAGCCCGCCCCGCCCCTGCTCTCCACCGCAGGTTCAGGGACACAGCGGCCATCCGTGAAGCAGGGCCGGGGCCTACTGAGAGCGCGACCTTGCTGTACCCTCGTCTCTGGCCTCCAGCCTGCAGACCACCGCAGGACTGACCTGGCCACGCTCACTATTTCAAGCCCCCAGAATCTCCACTGCCCTGGGGACCGAGCCCCGCTGCCCATAGGCACCTGGTGATGGGGGCTGTGCCCTCCCGACCGGGGGACCCATCTCACCTGCACAGGACCTCACTTTTCACCCAACCTCACCTGCCTGTGGGGCTCTAATTCCAACTCTTGTCTCCAGAAATCCTCTAGACGAGATAGAGTTGCCTTTCAGGGCTCCAGATGGCCCCCTGGGGAAGCTCTTATCACACTTGAAACACTTAATGGTTTAACTGCCACTTGCTTGTTTCCATATCTGTCTTTCTCCCCCATCCTGAGCTTTTCAGTCAGACTGAATGAGGCCAGGTGGAGCCTGGTGGAGGAGATGGGGTCTGAGCAGAGCTGGAGGGATGAGGTGGGCAAACCGCAGTGGGTACCAGGGCAGGAATTCATAAGCCCAGAGGAAGCCCTGCCCAGCGGGTCTACCAGTTAGTCTGAGGCCAGCCAGGATTATTAATCCATCGTGCTGCCGTGGATGTGGGAGTGATAGATGGCCCTTGACTATTAGCCCTGGCTGAGTCTCCCTGTCTTCCTCCAAGGCTCTGAATTATGTTTCTGTCTGGTGATCTGGGTTTCTCAATGCAAGATAAATTGGTGGAGGAGAGGGATCTACAGTGATGAGCAAAACACGAGAGCGCTCGCCCATGAACACAGAGCACAGAGACATCTTTATAAGTGTTGGTGTTTCCATGGAGAACAGGGTGGAGGGGGCGGCCAGAAGTACTCTCCAGGGCACAGTGACTTCTGGGTTGTGATCTGGAGCCTGGGGCTCTGTGCAAAGAGCGGGGAAAGAGCATTGTCAGCGGGGGACGGCAGATGTGAGTCTGAGGCGTGAAGGAGCGTCCTGGGTTCAGGCAAACGCAGACAGGTGTGTCTGGAGGAGGGTGTGGGAAAGGCCTGGTGTGCAGTGATTTCCTCTCTTCTTCCTTTCTCCGGGGAGAAGGAGCCTCAGCAGGTGCCTCCTCAGGATGTTTTGCAAATGGCTGCCAATGAGAGTGCGCTTGCTACTGATTTCAGGCTTCTCATCAAAAAGAAATTTCCCATCCCGATCAAGCGGGAAGTCAGATCTCGCCTGTCCCTCTGTCTTCTGGGTTGATGGCTCGGCTCCTGTGCTGGGACAACCTGTGGCCTCTGGGGCTTGGCCCTGGGATGTCGGACAGCAGGGCCCTTTCCGACGGCCAGGAGCTCCACCACTGCCATCTGGGCACGCACAGGTGCTGGGTGAGCTCAGAAACGGCCCTAAAGTAGCTTCAGAAAAAGACCATTTGGGGCACAGAGCAGACATTCCAGCCGAGCTCCCTGTCCCACAACTGCTTCCGGGTCTAGAGGGTTTCAGTTTGTGTGATTTGGACTCATCTGAACGCAACTCATCAAGGTGGATTTGTTTGGTTTCAAGCTCTGCGAAGCCTTGCTTGGTACCTAAGAAACCTTACAGTCTTTGTGTCCACCACCACCCCCACAAGCGGGAGGTGCCCTACAGGCTCCAATAGGACCAGAAGGGATTGGAAGCCCAGCTGTCAGGAGCCTGGGGATTGTTGGCTGCTATGTTCTTTTTTGTTGTTGTTGTTCCTTGAAATCTCTCCATTTTCGGTGACAAGAGCGATCATTCATTCATTCAGCATGCAGTTGGTGAGGGCTTACTGTGTTCCAGGCACTGAGCTAAAGCCAGGCAGGCAACAGTCAGTGTGGATGCAACTCATTCCCTCTGGTGTGAAAGACAGACGTCACAGCACACAGAGCAGTTCAGTTGGACATGCGATTTTTCAACACCTCAACAAATGTTTCTTGAACATCTGCTATGGGCTCAACATAGTAGCCCACATCACATCAGTGAGGAAAACAGACATAGCCCAAGTAGAGATGCAAGCGATACAGGGGCAGAAATGAGACGATGTACATAAAAATATCTTTCCCAGACTCCCTTGCACCTTAATGTGGTCATATGACAAAGTCTTGGCCAATGGGGTTTGAACAGAGGTGATACATGCAATTTTCATTTTGAACCCTTAAAGGGGAGTTATGTGCCCTGCTCTTCAACTTCTCTAACCTCCCTCTGGCTGGAATTCAGACATGATGGCAGGATTTGAGGCAGTCATGTTGGGCCTTGAAGTGGAACTGTGTGTTGAACTGCTGTTAGTTTGGCCCTCTGTCATTGCAGGCAACCTCCTCTCTGATCAATGTGCTATGACCTCCATTCTAGGGCTCCCGGGCGGCTTCCATGATGATTGCTCACTCTGCCTGGTCACGCCTCCCTTCCCTTCCTTCCTTCCCAGAACCCCACACCTGCAGTGGGTTCGCTTCCCACTGATTCCAAGCTCCTGGGCTTTGGTACCTGACATTTTGTTCAGCTCAAGGTGCATTTAGCTGGGCACCTTCTGTGCTAGGTAGGGTTTGGGCTAGAAACCAAGAGTCAAGATTTGGGCTCTTCCTTCTAGGAGCTCAGGATCAAAGTCAAGGTCATGAGAAGCCTCTTGGACAACGATCTCGCTTGGACATTAGGTATGATGTGGATGGGTTGCCTCTGCCCCTTCCTGGCTGCGTGACCTTGGGTGAGTCACTGTATCTCTCTGAACCTCATCTGTAAAATGGGGATGACGCTAAAAATGTCTACCTCAGTGGGTGGCTGAGAGAATAAAATGTGTCCCCAGCAAGCTGCTCAATTGCACCGCTTGCTGTCACAGCCACCCTAGAGGTGCAAGTTCAAGGTTACAGAGGTGGGGGTGGGGCGAATCCCAGGCCCTCTCTGGAAGTCACAGAGAGATGGTGCTGGGTTCCCTTTGGAGGATGCTCTCTCCCTCCTCTCATGGGGTCTGGGCATTTGGGGACCTGTGATTTCGTCTTGGTGCCCTGGGACCACAAGGGTTGAACATCCGTGCAGCTCACAGACACAGGAAAACTGCACGAAGAGGCAGGGGAAATATTTCCATCTCCGATAAGGAGTGGATGTGGAACATCCATCTTGGGCATGGAGAGGGGTGGGAAGGGGCCACCGAGGCAGCCCTGATAAACGACCCCCAGCCACAGCAGAGGGGCAGGGAGGGAGAGGACCTGAGCCTGGGCCGGGGACAGGGCCACTGCAGGCGTCCAAGCCAGCTCTCTGGTGGGTGGCACCAAGAATGTGAGTCAGCACCCGGTGTTTCAAAAGCAACAGCAGCTTTAACCGGGTCTGGACGGGGTCAGCGGGAAGGTGGCATTTCCTACTGGTCAGTTTTGAGCCGATCTGGATAGGATGCAAACGGATTTCTGAGTAACTTGTGGTGGGTTGTTGGACAAGACTGAAGAATGTTATTTGCCTTAAAATGGCTGCTTGAGAAGGAAACTAAACACTGCTCGGCTTGGGCTGGGCTTGCCGGCTGTTGGGCTGGCCTCGCCTGGCCGTGTGGGTTCCACTCTGCTCTGTTCCATTCCCGGCTCTTTCCCAGGCTGTGCCTTCTGCCCTGGGCGCTGCTTCTCCGCATCTTTAACCTGGACGGGAGCCCACACCTGCTGGGATGCCACTTTCCAGAACATTCTTCTCCGTCACCCTCTGACCAATGGTGTTGCATTTACCGCCAGTCCGGCTGGACTAATGGGGCACGTGACACCCAGGGAAGTGAGATCACCTGTCCGAGCCCTTGGCTGGGGACTGGCGGGGTTTGAACTTGGATCCAAAAACCCAGCTTCGGTGCCTGTGTCCCCTCATTACCGAACCACATTCCGCCCTTCTGTCTTTGAGTGGATTTTCCAGGTCCTGGGTGGATCCCAGGAAGGCCTCGCAGCTGGGTCACCTGCTCCTCCTCTGACCCCTCAGCCCATCTCACTGTCCTTGTCTGGTGTGAAAGGGTCGCAGGGCAGGCAGGTGGCCTGTGCCAGTCTCCTTGTGGGGACCACCTTGCTGCCCAGCTGGGTACCTTGGCTTCCGGCTGGTGACCAAGCATGGCTGAGGTCCCAGGCCTTGGCCGTTTGTGCCCAGCAGCCCTTGGACCTGTGCTGACCGGGGCTGCCCCATGCTTTCTGCTTCCTCGTTTGCCTTCTTCGTCTCCTCCTGAGGGCAAAAGCTGGCCCCCGTCCTGTGTTTCTCTGGTCCTTAACTTCTTGGTTGGTGCTCTGCCCACATTTGTAATAATGTACTATTTAGAAAATAGCAAGTAAAACAAATTTTTGGGTATGTTTTCTTTTTATTGAGTTTATTGGTACATTCTAGGCATACAGTACAGTTACATTCATCACTGGGATCTTGTACCTTTACATGACAGGTCTTGGTTCTCATTTTGCCCCTTGTCCCTGCCCTCCCTTTACCCCCTCTCCCCCTCCCCATTTACAGACACTTTATTTCCATTTTTCATTTTCTCATTTTTTTTCTTTTCCCTTATTCCATTTTCCCTACCCTTTCTACTTTCCCTACACCTTTAGCCCTTTTTGTCCTATTTTTGTATATTTTCATATTTACTGATATTTACTGTTGTGTTCACACTGGGATCGTACCTTTACATGACAGGTCTTGGTTCTCATTTTGCCCCTTGTCCCTGCCCTCCCTTTACCCCCTCTCCCCCTCCCCATTTACAGACACTTTATTTCCATTTTTCATTTTCTCATTTTTTTTCTTTTCCCTTATTCCATTTTCCCTACCCTTTCTACTTTCCCTACACCTTTAGCCCTTTTTGTCCTATTTTTGTATATTTTCATATTTACTGATATTTACTGTTGTGTTCCAATTTCACCTCTCCCACCCACTCTTCGAAGGAGGCATTCTGCACACCTGAGTCCAGGGGAAAAAAAGCAACACAGAGACTTACCTTGGCTTTTGAAATGTAAGATCCTGCACCTTTTAATGGGGGAGTTCAGGTCCTGGAAAACATATTTGGGATCTATTCTGAATGGGAGCGAGCCACATCTCCTGAATCAGAAAGAGAATAACCAAGCCGAAGAAGGGAGGGGGAAAAATGGAGAGCACCTGAGACAGGAAAGAGCTAAGGGGATGGTGGGGAGGGGAGCTGATCTGAGGAGGCCGAGCAGACACAAGCAGCTGGATCAGCCTTCGCCTGAAGGTGTCTATGGCCAGGGAGGGACCTGAGCAGTGTGACTGTCCAGTCTCCTCTCCAGAAGGTGCTGAGGACCACACTGGCTTTCTTCCCTAGTGGCATTGGCTAGGACCTCTCTTCTGTCGCAGCTAGGATGCCACATAGCGAACAGCCTGACTTCCCTGCATGGCCATCAGCAATCCTTCTCCTGTGTTTAGGTGCTTAGCATCGCCCTGCATCCACAGCGGCAGGACCGCGTGGTCTTGCTCTGGTCTCGCCATGCTTGGCATTCCCGTCTTGGAGGGGCGCTGGGCTCCCCTGGAGGATAAATAAACTCTTCCTTATCTGCAGAATGAAGTCCAGAGGTCTCAGTGTATCGCAGACTTGTGCTGGGCAATGGATGAATGAACACGTTCGAGGCTGGCGTGGGAGGAGGAGCAGGGGAAACGTCGGCTGGGTGGCAGACCAGGCCTGAGACCTGGAGAAGCCAGCCAGCCACAGCCACCCCTGAGGACGGCCGGGCCGGCGGACGCCTCTCGGTCAAGGCAAGCAGGAGGGGCACCGTTCCACCTGCCACGCTCCCTTGTACTAGGCATCTAAGCCAATCTCAAAGGGGCAGCCTCCTTGTTCCAGACTTCATTTTAATCGGATAAAGTTCCAGATCACTTAACTCAGTGCACGGTCATTTAAAAGCTTTTCTGCCGGGGCCACAAATCCTTCAAGAGCCATCCCGAAGGGGCTGCACCAGAGGCCTGCTTTCTACTCGGTCCTCGGTGGGCAGTAAATCAGCTTCCTCCTTTCCCTCCTTCTCGGAGTTGAAGATCGGAGCTTCCTGCCAGAGCCAGTGAACAGGCCTGGAGCTCTGCAGAGAAGCAGGTCTCCCCTGGGGAAGGTGGACGGGTGTCGTGAGGCTCCCTGGGGACCTCGTAGTGTTCTTGATTGGCTTCAAAGATCCAGGCCCAACCCTAGTCTCCAGCAACTGGTCAAAAAGGGGAGGCAGGTGAGACCGGTAGCACTTGGGGCCGTCTTGGAGCAAGACGCGCAGCCTCAGAATAACAAAGGTGAGCATCATTAATGAGCATCGAGGGAGCCTGAACTAAAATATATTTGGAACTCTCTGTATTCCTGAAGTAATCCATGTTTTTAGAAAAAAAATGAAAAAAACACAGGCAAGCCAAAAGAAATACAGAAAATGTACATATATTTCTAATCCCTAGGCCTAGACATAACATCATTAACCTGTTGTGGTTTAGCTTTCCCATAATTTTATGCATAAATATATAGGTCTTTTAATAAAATAACGTTATACCGCACAGGCTGTTATACGACCTGCCTTTTGCACTTAGCAATATATCAGAATATATTTCTTTGCAAGCCAATGTGCAGCTGGTACCTCATCATTTTTAATTGTTACACAGAATCCCAGTGTATGAATGACCTCAGATTAAACAGCAATTTAACCAATTTATTATTGTTGACATTCAGGTGCTTACCAACTGTTTGCATTGTGACTCATAATGTAGTGAGTGCTTTTCTCTTATTATTTTCCTATATTTTTGAACATTTCTTTGTATCATTTTAATTTAGGTGGAACTTCTGGGTAAAATAGCTTGTACACTTTTATGGGCAAAAATTGCTCTACAAACAAAGTATATACCTTTATGAAAAGACACTCAGACGACACATAAGTTTAAAATTATTTTCATTTTCTTCCCGAGAGAAGGTTATATTTTATTACTGCTGTATTTTATTACTGACCATTTTTTATGACAGTAATGAAACACATTAAGCTAGGTGGTTTTATACAGCAAAGAGGTTTATCTGGGCTCACGGCTCTCCACATCCAAGATCAAGGGTCCACATCTTAGATAGTCTTCTTGCTGCCAGAGTCCAGAGAGGGCATCTCATGGGAAGAAACAGAGAGTGATTCTTGTTTGTATACTTTTTCTGTTTCTTTCCTCTCTTAGAAAGCCACCAGTTATTCACCTATGGAGTCCCACTCTGATGACCTTACTAGATCTGAATCACCTTCCAGAGGCTCTGCTTCTAAACGCCACAGCAGGATTAAATTTCTACCTCTAAATACCCCACAGAGGAGAAGTTTCAGAAGTATTCATAGCAAGTTCACTGATACCAGATCCCATTTCTCATTCAACCTCCATCATGCCAGAGGAACCCCGCCCTATTCAGAGGATTTGCTTCTGGACTCAAAGCTGCGGGAGGCAGAGGTTACATTGGTTTTGCTGACTCTTGCACATTAGTGTCTGGTTCAGGGCCTGGCACACAATGGATGCCTGTTGTATTAGTTATCATTTGTCACACAACAAATTATCCCCAGATTTGGGAGCCAGAAGCAATACAGATTGATTACCTCGCATAGTTTTTGTAAGTCAGGAATCTGGGGATGGCTTAGCTGAGTGGTTTGACTCTGGGCAGTCTCGTGAAGGCGCAGTCCTCTCATTTACGGGTGTGGTCTCATCTGGAGGCTGGACTGGGGTTGGAGGATCGACTTCCAAGATGGCGCCCTCACCTGGCTGCTGGTGGGAGGACTCAGGTCCTCGCCATGAGGATTTCTCCACAAAGCTGCTTGAGTGTCTTCATGACGTGATAGCTGGTTTCCTCCAGAAAAGGGATCCAAGGAGAGGGCAGTGCGGAAGCCACAGTCTCTTTTATGACCTAGGCTCAAAAGCCAGCCTCTATTATTTCCCCTGTACTTTACTGGTTACAGAGGTTATTTAGTCCTATTCAAAGTGAGAGGGATCTACACAGAGACATTCGTTTGGGGAGTTGGGGGTCCCTGGGGCTGGCTTGAAGGCTGGCTAATACATTTATTTAAATGAGCTGAATAAATGACCAAGCAAGAAAATGATAATCCCAGAGCTAGAAGAGGTTAACAGTACTCCAATCTACTCCCCGTAGAGAGTGGGTAGTTATCTGAGAACAAGTTTGGGCTGAGCTGTGCATTCACCATAGAAATTGCCATCCTGAACTATTCCTGCCTTGTGTCAGGGCTGAGTAAAGGTTTACAATTCCCAAAGACATCTGGGAAATTCCCAGGGAAGGCCAGTTGTTGGTTTTTTGGTTTTTGTTTTTTGTTTTTTTTTTCAGCTCATAGAGCCAGAGAAAAGCTGGTTCTTGCAATTGTAAGGAATGCAAGGCCTAGGTGTCAATCAAGGCAGGATGGGTCACTGGGCCAAGGGAAGCCACTCTCATCATTGAAATACTCAGTAGTTTATGACCTCCATAAAGCCATTAGCCCAGGGAAATGAGGGGAAAGTAGTTACTGCACCCTTTACCCCTCGGGGGTCCATTAGCATCAGGGTTATAAACTTAGTCTTAGGCCATAGGTAAGTGTTTTTATCATCAATCAATTACCCATGCCTGTCAGCAAGTCTCAAGACCCTACAAGCATAGAATCTGCCCACCCATCCGTGGTTGGACAACTCCTGGCAATTCTCCTCCGCACCCAGTTTCCCCATCTCTATAGTACGAGGTTGGAGAAAATCAGACGTTCTCACTATGATGTTTACTTCTGATATGTGTATGTCGTGCCTTGAAATGTCAGCATCCCTTAAAAACCACTTCCTCTTCCCCATCAATAGTGTTTTCTGGGAAAGGATGCACAACTCTGCCAGTCGAATCTCCTGACTGCCCCAGTCAGGGGCACCCAGAGATCACAGAAATTTTTATAACACCTCCCTCAGCCTCAGACCTGCAGGAGGAATTGATCTCCAAGAATTGTTCTCTAATTGTTGCATCTGACATCTACTGAAGGCTTTGCATGCACCTGGCAATCGTTTGACCCTGTCTGTACTAAGCGCCTTGTCCTCACAGCTGTGTTGGCCTCCCCATTCATCCAGGATTAACTGCAAGCGGCCTGGGTGCTCACTGGCCCCCATGGGGCTTTTCTGTGCTTGTATCTTTCCCTTCCTCTTGGCACGACCAAGAGGGGAGACCTAAGAGAAAGCAAGGA